GTCATCCAAATATGTGGAGGGATCCAGGAACGTGTAAGTATGGTTCCAGAACTCTGTTCAAATATTTAACTGATATTATTTTAATCTGTTGTCTCATTTGTTGTGCTATTAGTGGCACCTTCCTACCCACATACCACAGGCAGCCCTCTTAGACGAAGAGAGTTCTCCCTGGATGGATAATAAATACTTTAAAGGCAACTCGTCAGCAGCTACCACGGCTGCCAAGGGGTTTTCCTTCAGGGAAACAACTCAAACACGAGCTGTCTCCTACACGAATTTTGAGTGTTTGGGACATTTCTTGTTTGGCAGGAAGGATGTTTGTTGAATGACTTCATGTGTGCCCAGGTCAGTAGCAGTGACTCCCATGACAATGAGCACGTGAGTGAAAATGGTAGGGAAACAGCACATCTGTATGTGATGAGCCACAGGGGTTTTGAAGGAGGTACCCCAAATGAAGTATTTACATGCAGGGCACACAGACCACAGGCGATGTGTGGGGAAGACTTGGAAGTGGGATATGACAGTGGTGGCCAGGGAGCACTGTTACAATAAACCAGAGACCTGTAGGAGTGACCGTTCTGGCAGGAATGTCCAGTAGGGAAAGGGCTCTATCAGCTGCCAGTGAGCCTGACGATGACAACAAAGCAATGAGCCCCAAATGAGATTGAGTCTAATCAATGCCTCCAACAGCAGGAAGGCCCATTGAGAAGAAAGCAAATTGGCCTGAGGAGGCCATTAGACCATCCGAGGAAGGGTGTAGCCTGCGGTGGTAAAAGAGGTAAAATGTCCACTGAACAACTTATTCGAGAGCCCAGTGTTTTCTGTTTTCAGAATTGAGCTGATAGTATCAATAAATTTAGAGCATCTTGGCGAGTCCTTGCATTTTGGCTTCAGCAGGGTAATGTACGACAGCATGAGTAATTTGTTCATATCAAGTTCTACCATGGTCTGCACACAGCAAGGAGCCCAGGGGACAGGGGGATAGGCCTACCAAGTCTACTTGCCATCAGCTGTAGGGACCCCTTCCTCATCCTGGAAGGTGCGCCCATTAATGATATTACCAGTGACTTGCTTTTTCACATCCAGTTCACTGATCCATCGCTGGTTAACCAGGCAGAGGAGGGAAGCCACATGAATTTTGCCTAGACTCTTAAGTCGGAGGTCTGTAAGTGGTTTCACATTATGTGGTATCATAAGACCAAGGTGAATACGATCATGTCTGAGGTGTCAATGTTCTCTCAGAAATTCACGTCAATTTATCACCCTGAGCAATAAAAATCAGCCTCTCCAGATTGAGGTTTAATATGGGCAGAGTAAGGAGTGGCCAGAGTTGTCATTGGGTATTAGAGGCAAGATATTCCCAGAATTGTTTAAAACAGAAATGGCAACCTGGGTAAGGGGTTGGTGCCATTCAGGGGACGGCACAGCGAGATCATGGGTAACGGCCCAGGACCTGTAAAAATGTACAGACCAGTTGGATTCTGGGCCAAGAAAGTCTCTATTGCTAACAGGACTGCTGTTTGATCACTCTGAGGCTTCAGTCCATTCTTTGATCAAGGATGGCCTGTGTGATGTGGCGACAGAAGGCAGCATCTCTGCAGTGCACTCTGTTGGGTGTGGTGGTGCACACTGTCCATAAAGTTTACGAACACCCTGGTCACCCATGTGCTCTTAAGTGACTCTCCAAGTGGCCAATCTATCTAAAATGGAAATGATCTCTTCAGAATGCATTACATCAGAGAAGAATGAACCACTTCCGACTGCTCATGGGATATTCCAGAGGAGGAATGTTGGCTCCGTGCTGTAAATACCCATCTCTTCAATGAGGAGGCTTTTGATTAGAAAGCCTGGGGGGTCCTGCAATCATGACCCAAAGCAAAATGGGAAGTTGGCTTGGTGGATCATCCACTGAGGCCCTGGAAGGGACTCCATTTACATAAAGACTTGTCAGCTGCCAGCAGTACCTTCTCTAATTGTGTGCAGCACCGAATGAAGAGAATAGTTCTGGTACAAGAATGCTTTAGGTAATTTATGTCCACCATGGGACTTTAGAGACGCCTGTATGCTCACTGAGAGGCATCTAAGGCATCCTTGAGAAGGACTGTGGGGAGGGGGACACTAATGGAATGTTATTTCAAATATTCCAGAGCCTTCTGTTTCCCAGTTCAACCTAAGTCAATTTTTAAGTGTCGTGTGACTAAGTAAGCAAGCAGCTCTGATAAATTTAAGATTTATCAGATGTCAGAGTGTCACTGTGGCTGACAGAATGTGCCCATCACATGGTTTCTACCACTGCTTCTGTCACCCTCTCAGCTCAGTCCCCTCCTGTTGCCTCAGAGAAAATATACAGTGAGACATGTGTGGATCTCTAAAGATTTTTCCAAGTCAGCAGGCACAGAGTAGGCTTGAGCTGGGAAATGAAGAGCTGGCAATGGTCTATGGGTGGCACCGAAAACAACTGATGCTAATGCACATGGACGAGGATGTCCCCAGGCAGATTCTGCTTGGGATACTTTGTTTATGTTTCTGACCTCAGAATATCCGAAGATCTGTCCTCGAACCTGATTTAAACTCAAAGACAGAGTCTGGGAGCCCTCTCACTTCACTCATAGTTATGAGTCTGAGCTGAGGGCAGGTGCAACCATAGGGGGTGTTTTCTCAAGCAAGCCGGGGTTGTAAGAAAGGCCCATTGAAGACTGAGTCCTTCATCTCAGTCCTGCAATCTTCCTAAGGATCCTACAGTGGTGGAAGGGTTTGACCACATAAAAATGCAGGTTCAGGAGACCTTGACATTCTACTAGCATATGAAAGCAATTATAATATTCACTTTCTAATAATTACACATTTAACACATATATAAAATACTTAAGTGCTCTCATGAGTTTTCAGAAATGTTAGGAATACTGCCATCAAAAGGTGAAAAAATCCCATCACCTCAAAAGAACAATCCTGTGGTGTCCATTTGAATTAAACCCCCCAATTCATAAGTTCACACTTAAAAGACAAGGGAAGACATTCTGTTCCCTTTGCTATTTTAAACCTTGAAGCTGTTATTGCTCTTCCCCAATTTTCCACACCACGTGCTGGACGTCTAAGCATACGGAAATGAACCCTGTGATCAGCTGCCTGGGCTCCGGTGCTTTCTGGATCATTGAAATTAAAGACTCCCAGTCACTCCTGTGATGAAAAGATGGTGAAAATTTCCCATGTCTCCTCTTACACTCAATTAGGATGTTACTAAAAATCATACCCTCTCTCCCCAGCTCACTCAATTATTCCTGGGATGGTTGCCTCTAACCAGCCAGAGGTCTTTGTGCTGTTTCCATGGGGAGATCACAGCAGACTCACAGAGATGTCACTCTACTCATAGAACTCACTCAGGATGAGCTAGAACAGGGCAGGTGAAGGCAACTGTCTCTCTAAGTGGGAGGAACTCCATGGTTTACTGGGGTGTATGTTGCACACTCCAGTCTGTAGAGCAGCAAAACAAAAATGCCAAAGACTCTAACATTTTAAGTATTTGATGGTAATATAAAAATCCTCTCAAATGACATTAAAAACAAAAAACAATACAAATACCTGTGGCTTAGATCAATAGGAAGTCTCAAATCCCAGATAACAATAATAATGACATCCTCGCTCACTCCTACCCTCATAGAAAAGATATAAACACACCTCAGCCTACTAGCTCAATGCTATTTTTTACTTTTCTTCAAAGGCCTTTCTTCTATTCTACAAAACAAAGCTTCACTGCGTCCATCAGTTCTGCTTCTCCACAAACATGGAAGCACCAGGACTGCCAGGACTTGTCTGTTTCATGCTCTGTATCCAGATCCCACTGTCTCAGCTCTGCTACAGTGTGTACACTGACTCCACACTGCATGGCTTGTGAGGGATGCTGACGGTACCAGCAAGAGCACAGTCTCAGAGAAGGAAAGGCTTCAGAGTGGCACAGTGGTCCTATTTCCTTGGCTGTGTTTGCACTGTCTCACAATTTACCTAAATTCAAAGGCCTCAGCTGAGTCTAAAGGAGATATTGAAAATATTATGTAGGATGCTAAGAAGAGAAGTTATGTATTTAAATGAGGTACTTCACAGTAAACAGTGTCTAATTCACCACAGGAAATACATCGGTGTTTTGATTGTGAGTAGGAAAGGCAAAGCTCTTCCGGAGGACCAGGAGCTGGCTGCATCCACTGCAAGGCCAGGTCTTACCCTGCTGAAGAGAAAAGGGTCCAACAGCTTGTTCATTAAAAGTACAGTTTCCAAGAAAAAACTAACAGTATTTTGTGACCACACAGGTAAAAATGGTAAAGGATAAAAGTCCAAATCATAAATGACTCTTTTCCTTCTTCTTACTAAAATGACTCACTGGAACTTCTTAAAAATTAACTTGCCTTCACTACATTCTTTTTGCCTTCTAGAAAACAATGATTCGGTTCACAAAAAAAAAAGTTTACAAGAGATAGAATTAAGTTTACCTCCTCACATCATTGAAGACAGAACATAACCTGCCTCCTGGAATAGCAGTCAAATCAACAAACAGAGACCAAAATCTTGTATGAAGTCCTTCGAGCACCATTACTGTTACACCTCATGGTCCCTTAGGTCTGTGGTCATTCTCACTAGAATTCCTTACACCCCTCTCTGACGGCAGGTGCAATCCTGCACGTCACTGGAAGAGGGCACTGAAGAAAAACATGGTGGTTAATTTTGGGGTTAAAAATGAATGAGAAATTATTTTCATGACAAAAGTTGTAAGTGTAAAAGAATAAGAAATACAGTTTGCCTGATGAAGAAATCCCTGAATTGGAGAGCACATGATAAAAGTGACTCAAAATGTATAATGATTACATGAAGAACCTTGCAAACTATATCTGAAAATCCATAATCAAAAATGGATATTAACATAGTCTGTAAAAATGAAATCCACAATAATATTAACATAGGATGCACTGGAACAGTTGATAAAATATATCAATGAAACAACTACAGAAGTGTTCATTCCCAAACAGATGGACACACTTTTATTGACACACACTCAAAGGTCATTGACAACACATTGGGGGAATACGTTCAAGCTGCAAGTAACAAGAAACACACACAGTCTTCCCAACATGAGAAAGGTGATTGTTCTCACATGGAAGAAGTGGGTCAAGGCAGCTGCTGCACAAGGCAGCAGAGAAACAAACTCGCAGGTGCTTCTTTTTACATCCCTTTGTAGATGCCATGGTGAAGCAGGAAAATGTGCTCACTAGCACTACGAGCAGCAAAGGTGTTTCCCATACACGTTAGACTTTACTCAATTATCATCTAGAGAAAAGGGGAATCAGAGAACGCTCCCAGCACAAAGGTCGGAATTGGCTTCCTGGTGCACACAAGAGGTCTTACAGAAAGATCCTACCTTGAATGGATCTTTGATGTGAAACTGGTGGAAAATGCATCTTTAACAAAACAGAAATCAACTAATTCTTGGTGGTTTCCAAGATACTCTTGACAAGAAGGGCAAAGAATCCAGAAAAAGGGATGGAAGATGGTGTCCTTGAATTTCCTATGTAACTGTCTCCCTCCCTTGGTGATGGCTCGAAAATCGGCCTAAGGCCTTGTGTGCTTCTGCTTTCCAAATCTCATGCAAGTGAGGCCATTGTGGAATTTCAACAAGCAACCATCAAGGGGACGCAATCTTAAATATCTAGCTCTTCAGATAACCCTCACTGACATAATGAAGTACAGGGGTGATGTGTCCAGCTCTAGATTTTGTTGCCCTGCCACAGGCCTCTACTTAATTCAAAGTCTATTCACCAAATGACAGTCAGAAGGAAGGACAAACAGCAAAGGCACAAATAGGAAACTAAGAATTCACAGGAAGTATACTCTTGGATAAACGTGCCATGCATAAATTTTTTCTCAACTGTTTAACAGTACAGAAAATAAAAACAGGCTCCTCCACCCACCACCCCCAGAAAGGAGCTTTCTCTGAAACATGTACAATATGTACAATGGATGAGGCACAGGCAGGAACCGTAAATACAAGGCCAGTAAGAAAATCACAACAAATACAAACTGTCACGTTTCAATACCCCCTTCACACAAAACAATTAAAACATTACAAAAAAAACCAAAAGATAAAAAATTAACTGATTTAAGGGAAAAGCACTACCTATAAATCTTATGTACTATTTATGAAGGATGACTAGCAGAATCATCTCACCTCAATACTCATTTCTGAAGTAATTAATAGAAATCCACAGTCTAATGTTGCACTTTAAGAAAGGCTTGACAAGTACAACATATTTACCACTTCGATAGCGACTCTTTACTGTTGAACGTTTTCTAGAACCTCATGTACAAATTAATTTCCATGAAGCTTTCTCATATGACTTACGTTTACGTTTCTTTTTGGTGGGAGTTTCACATAGAAGGGTGTAGGCCAACTGAACTCTTTCTCAAGCTCTCAACATTGAAGACATTTTTATCCAATGAGTCCTTTCTGCCTTCAAGAAAGAACTGGGGTGAGAAAAGTCCCAAATTGTTTCTATCTACCTGCTTTTACCTCTAGTGTGCATTTGTGCATATCCTCAAAAGTTTGCATGAGAACTAAAGCCTTTCTCACGTTCCTCACATTCATAGGCTTTCTCTCCAGTGTGACTTCCTAAATGCACTCGAAGATATTTGGAAGCAGTGAAGGCTTTACTGCATTCTTTACATTCATAGGGCTTCTCTCCAGTGTGAGTTCTTTCATGTTTTCGGAGAGAACTGGAACAAGTGAATGCTTTACTGCAGTTTTTACATTCATAGGGCTTCTCTCCTGTATGAGTTCTTTCATGTACTGAAAGAGAACTGGTACAACTGAAGGTTTTACAACATATTTTACATTCAAAGGGTTTCTCTCCAGTGTGAGTTCTTCCATGTCTTTGAAGAGAACTGGAAGAAGAGAGTGCTTTACTGCAGATTTTACATTCATAGGATTTCCCTCTTGTGTGCGTTCTTTCATGTTTTGAAAGAAAACTGGTAGAAATGAAGGCTTTACCACATATTTTACATTCAAAGGGTTTTTCTCCAGTATGACTTCTTTCATGGACTCGAAGATAACTGGAACAAGCGAATGCTTTACTGCATTTTTTACATTCAAAGGGTTTCTCTCCAGTATGAGTTCTTACATGAATGCGAAGATAACTGGAACAAGCGAATGCTTTAATGCATCTTTTACATTGGTAGGGTTTCTCTCCAGTATGAATTCTTTCATGAACTTGAAGAGAACTGGAAGAAGTGAATGCTTTACTGCATGTTTTACATTCATAGGGTTTCTCTCCAGTATGAGTTCTTTCATGAAATCGAAGATGACTGGAAGAAGTGAATGCTTTACTGCATTTTTTACATTCATAGGGTTTCTCTCCAGTATGACTTCTTTCATGTCTGTGAAGATAACTGGAAGAAGTGAATGCTTTACTGCATTTTTTACATTCATAGGGTTTCTCTCCAGTATGAATTCTTTTATGCATGTGAAGCTGACTGGGAGAAGTGAATGCTTTACTGCATGTTTTACATTCATACGGTTTCTCTCCAGTATGAATTCTTTCATGTCTTTGAAGATAACGGGAACAAGTGAATGCTTTACTGCATGTTTTACATTCATAGGGTTTCTCTCCACTATGAGTTCTTTCATGAAGTCGAAGATGACTGGAAGAAGTGAATGCTTTACTGCACGTCTTACATTCATAGGGTTTGTCTCCAGTATGAATTCTTTCATGAAGTCGAAGACAACTGGAAGAAGTAAATGCTTTACTGCATGTTTTACATTCATAGGGTTTCTCTCCAGTATGAGTTCTTTCATGAACTTGAAGAGCACCGGAACAAGCGAATGCTTTACTGCACGTCTTACATTCATAGGGTTTCTCTCCAGTATGAGTTCTTTCATGAACTTGAAGAGAACTGGAAGAAGCGAATGCTTTACTGCACGTCTTACATTCATAGGGTTTCTCTCCACTATGAATTCTTTTATGTCTTTGAAGAGAACTGGAAGAAGTGAATGCTTTACTGCATTTTTTACATTCATAGGGTTTCTCTCCAGTATGAGTTCTTTCATGAAGTCGAAGATAACGGGAAGAAGTGAATGCTTTACTGCACTTCTTACATTCATACGGTTTCTCTCCAGTATGAATTCTGTTATGCATGTGAAGAGAACCGGAAGAAGTGAATGCCTTACTGCATGTTTTACATTCATAGGGTTTCTCTCCAGTATGAATTCTTTCATGTCTTTGAAGATAACGGGAATAAATGAATGCTTTACTGCATGTTTTACATTCATAGGGTTTCTCTCCAGTATGAATTCTTTTATGCGTGTGAAGAGAACCAGAAGAAGTGAATGCTTTACTGCATTTCTTACATTCATACGGTTTCTCTCCAGTATGAATTCTTTCATGTCTTTGAAGATAACGGGAATAAGTGAATGCTTTACTGCATGTTTTACATTCATAGGGTTTGTCTCCAGTATGAATTCTTTCATGAAGTCGAAGATGACCAGAAGAAGTGAATGCTTTACTGCACTTCTTACATTCATAGGGTTTGTCTCCAGTATGAATTCTTTCATGAAGTGGAAGATGACTGGAAGAAGTAAATGCTCTACTGCACTTTTTACATTCATAGGGTTTCTCTCCAGTATGAGTTCTTTCATGTGGTTGAAGTAAAGTGAGATAAGTGGAGGCTTTGCCACATTTCTTACATTTATATGGCTTCTCTCCAAATTTTTGATACTCATATGTTTTATGTTCAGTGTGACATCTGATGTGTGTTGTAAGGGATGACTGATGCGTGAAGACACTTCCACATGCACTGCATCCCCATGGTTTAGCTCCTGTAGTTTTCTTGTTCAGACTGAGATTTGGAAGAAGGCTGACGTTTTCTCCACACTGACTACCCTCTTCACTTTCACAGAGTCTCCCTACCCTATGCTTTCTGTAAAAATGAGAAGCATATTGTTAATGATTTCTCTATTAATGATTTTATGCTTATGCTTATTATGATTGATAGCAAATGTTTATGTTTTCTCCCTTCTGTGAATTCTCTGAAATTAAATATACTGAAGTTTCTGAAAGAGGACTTCACCCTTGTTATTTTCCAAACAGTGATATTCAGAGATAAGGTTCACTAATAGTATTTATAAGTGAAATATTTTGCAAAAATTGAACCTCTACATCACATTTCAGAAAGTACATTTTGTGAAAATTTTATAAGAATAGCTAAATTTGAAGCAACGGTTCTATTTTAAAACAATTTCTTAACATACAAGGATTCTCACATGAGACAGAGCTTTCTATTGTGTGACTCACCTTACTTTTCTCCCCTGGTCTTTGTACTGATCTTCAAGATCACAATCTTCCCATGTTATTCCTGAAATGCAGACCCACAGAGTTTGTTCCAAATATTAGAAATTAGACAAAAATTTCTAGATTCTAAGTCTATGCTAATCTATGGCCATTTCTACTTTATTTACTAACAACCTCCCCTTTCCACATCTACATCTTAGAACACTGATGATGGGCAAGAATCACTTGTTCTTTCATTGATGACGTGAAGGAAGGTCCTCATTCTTACCTACTGAGGCCAGGTGCCTGAAGGTTTCCCACATCACATCTCTGTAGAGTTTCTTCTGTGAAGGATCCAGTAAAGCCCACTCCTCTGGGGTGAAGTTCACAGCCACGTCCTCAACGGTCACTGAGTCCTAAAACACCACAAATGTGTGTAGAGTAGCATACATGAGCCTGACAGCACTGGGGATCTACACTGCAATTCTAGGAAGGTTAGATGGGATTCTATTATCTCCAAGCATTTATTCTATGTGTGATCATCACAAGCTCCCTCTTTTCTGTACACAATGCTCATCAATTTAACAATATTGTGAACACATGGAAATACACATTTTCACTGTGATCACATTCCATCTGATTTCTCTCTAAGAAAAAGTTCCAGAACATGTTGGGAAATGACTCAAATGCTATACAAATGAAACAAATATCATTTGTGGACCAATGATTCTTTGTAAGAAAAGTTCTTTCATCTTCTTCCATATTACCCACAGGTTACAGCACTCCATGAGGCAGAGGGTGAAATCTATGGGATGTTTCAGTGAATAAAAATATAGGGAACAGGGCCGGCCCAGTGGTGCAGCAGTTAAGTTCATACGTTCTGCTTCTCGGCGGCCCGGGGTGCACCAGTTCGGATCCCAGCTGCAGACATGGCACCACTTGACACGCACAGCTGTGGTAGGCATCCCACATATAAAGTAGAGGAAGATAGGCAGGGATGTTAGCTCAGGGCCAGGCTTCCTCAGCAAAAAGAGGAGGACTGGCAGTAGTTAGCTCAGGACTAATCTGCATCTAAAAAAAAAAAGAAAACAAAACATAGTGAAGAACTGGAAGCTTTTTGATCTGATCCAATCACCAAACTGAGAGTCCAGGAGACCTGTGAAATCACACTTTGACCAAGCCCAGCTGCCCATATTGTCCTAAACTACTCCAGGCCATTACAGGTAAGCAGATGCAGCTGCCTGAATGTAAATATTCTCGTGGTAAAACACTGCTTTTCAATTGTGTAATATGCATCATAGACTCAGTTCAACCTTTCTCACTCTGGAAGATTTGATAGGGCTGGAATTATTATAACCTGAGAGCTCAGGCACAAAGAAGAAGGCATGAAAACTTAGACCATAAGATCACTATACTTATGGGCCTCAAAGCTACTTCTCACCAATTTTAGCACACATTGTGAGATAATAAAGTGCCACAAGAGCTCTTTCTGGTCAAATGCTAACCATGTACCAGAGCTTTGCTTCCCTTGAGGAGTAGGTTAAGACATGCAGATTGGGGCCCGTCCCATGGCTGAGTGGTTAAGTTCCTGCACTCCACTTTGGAAACCCAGGGTTTCGCTGGTTAGGATCCTGGGTGCAGACATGGCACTGCTCGTTAGGCCTTGCTGAGGCGACATCCCACATAGCACAACCAGAAGCACTCACAATTACAATATACGACTATGTACTGGGGTATCTGGGGAGAAAAAGCAGAAAAAAAACCCACAGGTGGATTGGCAACCATTGTTAGCTCAGCTGCCAATCTTTAGGAATAAAACAAAAGAGCTGCAGATTACACGGGAGCTCCTTGAAGTCCACAATGGTTTGATGTCAAATTTGCCCATGATTATAAAATACATGAAGGATTTAACAGTGGTCTCCCCACAAAGAACATAAAATTTCCTTTGTCCAACGGCAAGAGGAAGTGTTTCCTGAATAGCCACTCTGGATGATGCCCTGCAGACTTCTGATCCTGCGCCTAAGAGCTTAGAAGCTGTCATTCTTGATCTCACAAGGAGAAAATGAAGAAACTTGAAATGAACAACCCTTCTTAGATCCAGGAGAGCCTTGAGGTCCCAGGACAAACAGAGTCACCAAACTTGGGAAAGACAAAAAAAAAAGATGGCAGTTTGAAATATGCCCCACATATTCTGTTCTTAATAAGGACTGTACTAAAAAAAAAAAAAAACTATTTCACCAGAGTCTAATGCAAGGGCAAACATAACAAAAAAGACAGAACACAATTTCCACGAAGCCTAGGACAAGCCTCTGTAAATGAAGGCTTAAAAGACAGTGGGAACACCTGAAGGAAAAGAGAGAGACAGAAGAAAACATCAAGTAATAATCACCAAATTACTCTAAAATTAATGATAGCCAGCACACTGTCCATCTAGGAAGCTCACAGAACACTAAACATGATAAAGTACAAAAGTGCACTCCCAAGGGTACCACACTGAAACTGGAGAAACATCACAGACAGAGAATGTGTTGAAAAGTGCCAGAGAAGAAACATGCCTTAAACAGAAAGAAACAAAGATTTGAATTAAACTGGACCACTTCTCAAAAACGACGCAACAAGAGCAGAGGAGACTGAACGAATTAGAGTGTTGAAAATAAAACTCACTTTCCCAGAATTCGGTCAAGCAAAATTATCCTTCCTTACAAAGAAGAAATAAGGACTTTCTGAGACAAAATTTGAGGAAACTTGTCCCAAGTACACATACGTAGAATGAAATTGTTGGAAAGTTTATCAGAAACAATGTAAATGATAAAGGTAGGGGATTAGAAGAAGAAAAGATGAGGGGACATATCTTTTATGTTTCTTATAATTAATACAACAGATGACACTTTACTTAAACTACTGTCACAAAGAATGAATTTGGTAATGAGAAGCTAATGGACAAGAAACATAAATGACAGCAATGTCACAAGACACAGGGAAAGGAAAATTGGGGACAGTGTGTTAAGAGGTACTTGCACACAGTGAAGTGGCACAGTGTTACTTGGCAGAGGGGTGGGTTAGTGGTAAATGTACGCTGAAAACTCAAGGGCAACCACCAAAATGTGTTTTGTAAAAAATGTGTAACTGATATGCTAAAAGAGGGGAAAAAAAGAGTTACCGGAAATGCTCAATTTTAACCAGAGAAGGTGGCAAAAAGGTAGAAGACAAAAACAAACAAGGATAAAAAAGCAAAAACTAACATTTCGGTAAATATTAATCCAACTGAATCATTAACCTCCTTAATCATCAATGGTCTCATTACAACTGAAAGACACAGTAATAGAGTTCAAAAAATACCACTGTATGGTGTCTACAAGAAACCCACCCTAAGTATAAAGTCAGAGGGAGATGGAGGGTGAAGGGACGGAGAAGAACAGACCGTGCCAACACGAATCCAAAGGAAGCTGCCAGAGGAATAGACATCACAGACAATGCAGATTTCAAACTGAGGAAAATGCCGAGATAGAGGGGCAGTAAGTACTGATAAAGGGTCCTATTCTCTGAGGAGGCACAGCAACGCTGCATGTGTAGCTGCCTAACAACAGAGGGGCAACACACCTCAGGGAGGAACTTACCGAATGCAGGAGAGATAGACAGATCCAGTACCACAGCTGTAGAAGTCAACACCCCCTCATCAGGAATTAGACATTTCAGTAGGCAGGAAGTGAGGAAGGACAGACGTGCAATGAACAGCACTGCAAAACAGCTGGGTTTCATTGTAATCTGCGGAAAACTTCACAGAACAGCAGAACATACATTCTTCTCAGGTTCACATGGAACATTCACCAAAACAAACCACACCCTGGGACACAAAGCACACCTTAACAAATTTGAAAGAAGAGAAATCATACAAAATAGGCTCCCGTACCACCTAGGCATTCCTCTAGAAGGCAGTACCAGCAATAGTTGAAAACCCCCGAATGTGTGGTGCTTCAAAAATAGACTTCTAAATAATACATAGTATGAAAGTAGAAGTCTCAAGAAAAAGGAAAATTTATTTTGAATTAAAAACATGAAAACACAACATAGCAAAGGTTCTTGGATGTAGCGAAAGCAGTATCCAGGGGGAAATTCATGCCATCAAACAAATACACTGGAAAAATCAAAGATCTCTAATCACTAATGCAAGCATGTACCTTAGCAAAGAATAAAAAGAAGAGCAAGTTAAACCCAAAGCAAGCACAATAAAAGAAATAATAAAATAAGAAAGGAAACGAATGTCATTGTGGGAAATCAATGGAGAATATGAAAACAAAAAAGCTGCTTGTTTCACAAGACCAACAAAATTGAGAAATATGCACTCAAGATAAAGGGAAGAGGGACGACAGAAATTACTAACATCAGAAAAGAAAGGAGGGGAAATGAACATAAAATAAGATTTGAGAAAATGCAACATCTATTTATGATAAACCAGTAATAGAGGAGAACTTCCACTTCTTAAGAAAGAACACCTTCACAAATCCTGTAGCAGAATTTTTGGTGTTTGTTCCATATGATATGACTGTCTCTATGCAACAACTGGAAGAACTCACAATGACAGAAACGACTCCTGGGACTAATAAGAGAGTACAGCAACTTTGCTTTCCTTCTAGACTCAGATGAACAGTCAACTGATCTTTGACAAAGAAGGAAAGGAGATTCAAATGAAAAAGCAAGTATTTTAAACAAACAGTAGGAGAACTAATGGATATCCACGTGCAAATACACACAAAACAAATGTAGACACAGGCCTCACACATTTCATGAAAATTAAGTCAAAACACATCACAGATCTAAACGTAAATCGCCAAAGGAATAAGCTCCTACAAGAGAACACAGAAGAAAATCTGGATGACCTTCTGTTTGTTGATGAATTTTCACATAGAATACCAAGAAGCAAGGTCCACAAAAGAAAAAACAAAAAATTTTACAATTTTAAGTCAAATGAAAAACTCCTCCTCTGAAAAAGATGGTGTAAAGACAAGATCAACACAATTCAGAGTACGAGGAAATCTCTGTAAAACATTTATTGGATAAATGATTGGTATCTGAAATATGCAAAGAATTCTTCAACTGTAATAGTAAGAGGAAAAACATGCAATTAAAAATGGGCAAAAGATCTGCAGACAGCTCACTGAAGGAGAGATCTAGATGGGAAATAAGCAATATGAAACATGCTCCACATCAAATGTCATTAGGAAATTGCAAAGAAAACAACAGTGGGCAGCACTAAACACTTATGAAATGGGTAAAAGTCAAAATATTCAGAACAGCAAATATCAATGAAGATGCAAAGCCACAGGGAATCCTAGTTCATCGCGGGTGGAAATGGGATTTGGAACACCCACACTGCAAGACCGGAACCTCCTTTCAGAATAAGACACACTGTCACTAC